GACCTAGAAACTGGTCCAATCATGCAGCTGAGCAGGGCAGGGGGCATTGGGGCACCCCTCCCCTCTCCCAGCTTGAGGCCTGTGTCCCCCGTGTGCCCCATATACACTCAGATATTAGAGAAGTGACAGTCCGCTGTGGTCACTGTGAACAACCACTGAGTGCTCCCTCCAGAAAATGAGGGCCCCAAGTTCCCCGCAATGTATCCCTGTCACGCCACTACAGCAGGGTACGTCCAGACCCAAATTGGCTTCATGCACCTTCAGTTTTTGGGTAAGAAGACGCGTGCGCCAGTAGCTCATGATGTTCAACTTCACATGCAAAACTCGTTTCATTGCCAGATAAAGAAATCGATTAAAAGGGTCTGGAATTGCCTGTCGGTCTGTTGGTGTAGCAATTTTATATTCCCTTCGTGCGTCGGGTTATTTCTATGTTGTGTGTCGTGACATTCTGCTTGGCGGGAACATGCCATGTTTCACCACACAAATAAAAATAGGTCGTTATATTGATCCATGAGTGACGACTTACCATGCGTCCTTTCCTCATGAATAGCAAAAAAAAAAAGCCGAGACCAGGATATCGACATTTTCATAGTGCTCTCGCGAAACCAAGTGAACTTGGAGAAAACATAAGCACTTTTTTTTAAGTTACCATCTTTTATAGTGCGAAGTCCACTGTTTAATTATTAGTTTATATCTTTTGTGCAGTTTCAGGTTTTCTAAATCTGGTAATGAAAAGATTAACGTATACAGTAAAAAATGACACTGAGAAAAAGACCTCTGTTTTTCAGTAAGGGCAAGTCCGAAGCGCCCGTGCACCAGTTTTGAAAGTAGACAAGCACCTTGGTGTTCCATTTAACCAACAGTTAATTTTCCTTTTAAAGGGTCTATGCGGAGTAATTGGTAATACAGCCCTTTACAATGTGAACTTAATGCTATTTCATTACTTTTGCCAATTCCAATTCATTTCTTGAACAAAAATTAAAATTGCTCCAGGACAAAACTAAACGTCGCATTGATTTTCTGCACAAAAACTGAAATATTCCTTTTTGTTTTTATTTTGCTGTTCTAAATTTCCTTTCTTTGGTGAATCTTTGATATGTGAGTACATGGCAATAAGACAACAAGTAACTCCTTCTAAGAAATATTTTCAATTTGAAAATTTGGGGACCATAATTCGAATAGAATTTGTCGGATTTGTCGGAGGCTTTTAAAGAAATATTCTTCTTGTGTGCATTTTTACTGCTTTAATACAGTGTGGCTCAATCCAGTCGGAATTCAAATTGTTTTGGTACAGTTTGACTCTTAACTTCAAAAAATTCTTGAGCCTAATTTCTCTAAAGAGATCTACTGCTATAACGATTTCGACTCAGACCGTTTATTTCGGGGAATCGGCGAAAGGGTAAAGCCATTCGGTTATTCGTAAATTGCCGCATACGTTATGTCGTGAGCTGTGCAAAACAGGACACGAAAAAGTGACGTGTTTTCTTCTGAATGACTTTTAAGGATTAAACTGGAACTCTTCATCAGCTCTTTAAACAAAGCCCCTGCTGTTTTCGTCAGACCCAGAACTACCTAATTAAATTCATTTCAGCTTTAACTGAATTGGCATTGCAAAATTGGTCCCCATCAACGGGAGTCAATTTGATTACAGAGGATTTCTGAAGCGCCAGCTTCATCCGAGTACTTTAGCCTTAACAAAGGAAGCGCCTCGCGAAAAGCTTTAAGGCATTCACAAAAAGTGAACCCTTCAACCTTTGGACAACTGTATGGCATGTTCCTGAACTTAAAAATCCTCTTTGGTGGTCCCTCTGCTGTCTCTGAAAATAAACACCCTACTGCCCATGCCCAATTGTCGCGATGGGCCGCCTTATCACACAGTGTTTGCCTTCGTATCCAGGGTTGCATCATTTATCGTTACGTGCAGCAAGCTCGAATTACGGTACGATGGAGTTTAGATATTAAATGGGCTTCGATTAACTTACATTGCCTATACGTATGGCCGTAGATCCCCCCCCCCGCAACAGGATCTTGAAAATATTGAAATAGATTGTGCCTGACAAAGAACTTTGTAAATAGCTTAATATCATGGAACAAAACAGCCTATCGGGGGAAAATGACACACAAGACTGTAAACGTTCGCTCAGCGACTGAGGTTCTAAGTAATGGAGTTTACGCAAGGGGTGTTAACGTTTCAGTCGCGTTTACTTCGAGACAATCATTCAAGCACCAACATGATGTTTACTCAGAATTTAATTTTCCTTCAACGCGAATAAAATACTGCGAGCATTGCCAAATGAACGCCGACGCACTGCTATATATTTGTTTACTTTTTAAACGAAATTGAAAACGTGCGCTGCATAGACTTGATTGCATGCAACCAAGCGTCCTATACATGTAGTAATAATTATATTTCTATTTAGAGAGTCAGGGAGCGGAATATAGTAGTATCCAATGCCAGTGTGATTCTACAAAATGGGACATATTATTGTTATTAATTCTATTTTACAGTGGAAACCTTGTGTCCAACCTTCTTTCTTTTTAAATTGTCGTAGAAAGTCTGGCTGTCAGGAAAATATTTTCGCACTATACTCATTTTGCACTGTAGGCCTCTTTGCATGGTCAAGACAGTGCTATGTCTCAAAGCGGGATGAGTAATGTTAGGTTAAAACGGGCATGAAGGTATAATGTACAGCAATGCGTGCTAGCCCTAGTTCACTGTAAATTAATGCAAGGCCTGTTACGTTCTACTAAGGAGTACTGTTCCTTCGGGCTTTTGCCTTAAGAATCTATGTAGGAATGTTGTATGACAAAGAATTGATCGTTAAGAACATACCTAATCCTCTGCATTAAATTTGTTTTCTCCTTTACATCGGAACTACAAAACAGACTAACAACAGGGACATGATGTGAACCTATACCAGGCAAGATATGGGACGGAGGGGTACCCCCCTTACCTGTCCAATCCCTATACACACTCTAGACTGTTGTGACCTAACACGTCCCCCCTAAAGTCTGTAAAGAATTCCTGAGATTCCGATCAAACAATAACCAACACAAAGGCTAGGGGGGTTCGCTCCGTCCCATATCTTGCTTCAAATGTGTGAACCTTACAACTACCTTACAATACTCCGCATATATAATTCTTTACGTTCCGGGGGAAAATGGCACTTAAAAAGTCTTCCGCTGCCGGTTTGGGTGAATTAATCGATTTCCTGACATAGAAAGCCTTTTTTTTTCCAAGAAAATCCGTCGAAATGTGCAATTACTTATGTTTTCCAGTGCAAAAAAATAAAAGAAAAGAAAAAAACAAGTGGGAGAGATAGATTACCATGAAATGTTACTGGTATTTTTCAAAGCATTTTATTGTTGTTAGAGGCATGTGCAAATGACTGATTCAAGGTTCAAGATAATGCCGGGAAGTCATGGCGACGAAGATGAAAATCAATCTGTAGTCTGTATGAAAGGTTGGGAAAAGCTTGCCCCACAGTAATTTGATAAAAAATTGATTATTATACGGTCATCCAATTTTAGCCTACCTCGCTGGAATCTCTATTAAAGGAAATTTTGCAAGTCCAAGTTGAGAGGTGCCATTACCCAGTTTCTTTCCAGGTGAGATCGTTAAGAAAATTGTGACCGACGAATGAAAATTGGTAGTCTTGGTTTCCAGACCTTCCTGTTTATTCCGTGACACGATCCACCACCAGAAGAATCAGTACGATCAGTGCTAGTACGCCGCAAAAAAGGGGTTGACACAGTGAATTGCGTTATACACCGCACCACATAGTGCGGGCGTATCGGATTGTAGCACCACGAAACCGAATCTTGGACCCAAGACTAAAAAGTGGTTGGGTGTGCACCAAACAGTCCTCAAACAGCTGTTCTTTGTAAAGGACCTTGACTTGGGGGGGGGACAAAACGAATGAAAAGGAAATTGAAACGATTGAGTGCGAGGGATATACTTTCTAATGTTTTAACTGTTGGAAACTTAAAACCCGAATGAAGATGGACTAATCACACTCAGATAAGGTCACCTCACAGCAACGCTCAGTTTCCCAATGTTTATTCAGCCAGTCAACTCCAACCTCACGTTAACTAAAACAATATAATGACGGGTATCCCTAATGGAACCTTTACCATCAAAAATATGCCGCATAATGCCAGCAGTTTCGTTATCAAACCTTTTAATCTTTTCAAAAATCTGTTCACTCCCTGGGAATATTTACTGCTGGGAGCATTGTGTGCAGATCTTATCGCCCTTGATGGCACATAATGAACAGCATGAAGACACCATATTTATTTAAGGATTATTACTTATCTTGTACTTGTTAGATTTAATTTCTTCGTTTTATGAATATTTAAATTTAATGTTTAGTTTTTAGTGCTTAATTTTTAATTTTGTTTTATAACTCCCGTTACTTTGTTTTAATTATTTAAAGTTAATTTAATTTTTGCATTTTACTGTCCAGCGCTTTGAGATGTCATCGACATGGGAAGCGTTTTTAAATAATTCATTATTATTATTATTGTTTTGTCTGTTGCAGACGGCAAGTACATTTTGTACGTTGCTAACCTACTGCACTGCATTACATGAAAAGGGTTGCGGGAAAACAACCAAGTTTGGGGACATGATGTAGCCCAGGGACTAGAGACGGCCAACTACTCTTGGATAAAATGTGAGGTGCGAGGAAGAACGTGGGCCGGCGTTTGGAGAAAATGACCCGATGTGGAGTGAGCTTATTCCCACCGCCATGAGGAAATTTTCCGTTTGATGCCAGCGGAGGGAAGTATATAGATTCCATTAAGCACTTAAATGCAGGCAATAAAAAAAACCGAGTGCCAAACGTTCAACACGTGGTGCTGTACGGAGGGTTTAAAAGCACTTGCAAGTTAATAAATATCATTTTGAGATGCCTCCAACAATAGCATAACTTTCTGCAGATGTCAATTTCTGGTAAAGAAAAATGCCCAAAAAATAAGTTACCGAAAAAAAGAAACACTACCTGGTCTTCGTACACATGTCTTCTTATCCAGTTAAAGCCATGAGCCATTGAGATACAGAAGATACCAAACACAGCTGTCATGATGAAAGCTTGAGTTAGGGTCAGCGTAGACATTGAAAAATCTGGCTGCGATGTGACGTTAGCGACAGCAAAGGCCGTATCGTAAAGTTCCCGACATTCGGTTGGAATTGTCGGGCCCGACACGGTGGTGATCTGATCTGTCGTTACCGATGTTGTCGTGCTTGTACAAAGCCCAGCTTGTAAAATTGTCAAAGCGAGAATTAAGGCACCGCAGCCGAACATGTTAGTCATCATGGTGGTGTCTGAGTTCAGTAAATACCCTCCAAGTCTCAATCCTGTGTGAAAAGTGGGTTTGACTGACTGTCACTCATGTTTGAGGATTGACAGCTATTTCACAAGTCCTCACTTAGTTTAAGTCACTCAGGAAATCATTCGGGCGCTTCGAATGAAATTGGACGATGATATTGATTTTTTTTCTCACCACAGCTTTCGATATCCTGGAAAGGCGCCTGATTGCGTTAAGTGCAAGTCGGCAGAACACGAACGTCTGACACGAACTGTCAACTGAAGGCGGGAAGTCTTCAAGGAGAAGCAGTCTCAAAGAATTCACACATCGCTGAATTCTTTGGTGGAGCACCTTCACCACTTAAAGCCAATTGATACAGAGAAGTCCACCGTACGCAGTTTATTCGATGGGGGAAACTGGAGAAGTGGGTAAACAAAAGCCGCACTTGGTCGTAAAAATCTCTTCAGAGGGGAAGCTAAAAATCGCTTTAAGTTGTCGAGGCGAGAACTATTTTTTCTACGCTCGAGAATCAGGGCAAATTTTTGCGACCGCTCAGTAGTCCTTCAGGGAGATTGCCTATTTCTCCAAAGTTTTCTTCCCGGCCTGAAGACCTGTTCGTACGAGCGTACAGTAATTAACTCTGCTCCTGCACGTCAATATGCTGAGCCCTTCCTCCATTGCATGCCTGAGCACGCTGCAAGCCTTCGTGAGCTTTATAATCAGATCTACGTCGGACTGTGCGGGGGAAGATATGGCTTTCAGCGTCGGTGATGGTGAAACGGTTTGCATTCGCTCAGGAGTAATGCTCAACTGTGATTGGTTGTTTAATGCTCAACTGTGATTGGTTGTTTAATGCTCAACTGTGATTGGTTGTTTCATCCCCTCCCTGCGTGGACTTGAAATAGGCCGATTTTATATTTGGTTTTACTGGTTTGGGTTTTTGTTTCTGATCACTGATTATGAAACAACCTATTACGCGAAGAATAAGTGCAAGAAGGAAATAAGAAACCTGTGAGTGAAAACTGTTCGGAAATTTGCACCTCTCTGCTGTTTTTCTCAAATGCCCAAAGAGACGCGCGTGTTGACTGTAGACCCTCCTAAAATCAAGTTAAGCTAAAAGGGCAAAGATTTGAATCAATCTGGAAAACTTGTGCCCCATGATGAAAAATGACAATTATCAGCGACGTAACCAGCTTTTAGTGTGGAGGAAGAGGATTCAAAAGCGAAAGCGGCTTCAGGGTCATTCAACATAATGTTGGGAGGAAAAAATATCAAACGCCTTACGGTCCCGACATCCTTGCCTTTATTTACTGGTGTTGTTTTCTTAGGGTTTTGGTGCTAATACATGTATTTGATAAATGAATATAACAATTACTTTCTACTCACTACAGAGTATTCTTTGTAATAATAATCCGTCAGGGAGGGAAGTTTCCCCCTGCCCCCCCCCCTTGGATTTACCACTGGCTTTTATAATATTCTACTGAATCTGGACCAATAGAGGGCGCAATTTTCCTAGCGACGGTGGCTCCTTTTGGTCGGAACTACACTTTGCTGGTTTACAAACGAGTATGAAATACACGCATTACGGGCACTTCGCTACCAGCAAAATGAACACTCTCCCACCAAACGTGGCTCTTTTCAACCGATGAGGGGGTGCTTCTGCTACAGGCAGATATTCACACCTTTCACACTGACTGCTGTTTTGCGACCACAAAAACAAGATCATAACTTGCAGCCGCATCGGTACGAACATCAGGTACATAACTCAGCATTCATGCATAAATTGTCATGATCAATAACCAGAGTGGTTACTTGTTCTTTCGGCTAGGAGACGTGCACAAGTCTGTTAGATGATAAATTAACCGGGAGGCTGGGCACTAGGTTAAGTACACCTTCCATGATGCCATTATTTTCCCCATTTCAAGATAGCCGAATCTTTGATAGTTACCAAAAAGGCCTGATTTTAGGCCTACTTTTCCATATTTTCATAAAATGTACTAGTGTGAAGGGGTACGTTGAAGATGCACAATTTGCTCCGAAGATTCCTAACCTGTGAGCATAATTAGCTTTGTAGTTGCCAGAAATGTCTCCATTTTAATCGACGAAGGCGAGATTCAACCCGGGGGGCAGAAAGTTTAGTAAATGTTATATCTCGCCTTTTATCTTATCTTTATCTCGACTGAAAAAAAAATTACTTACGGTCTTCGAACCCACTGTCCTTGGTTGACGTTTGGCGCCATCGGTTTGAGGTCTTTTGTAGTGTTAGGTACTACATTTAAGGTAAATTAAGGTAAAAACTATCATCCTATCATTGTAATTATATCATGCAACATTTTGATGAAATAACTGGTAATTTAGTTGATCGCCAATTAGCGACACCGAGAAAAACTCATCCATTGTCCGAACCTCGCAGTTTTTAGATGTCATTGAAATGATACAATTTTCCATAACCTATTAGCTTGTCTTATGACATTTTAAGAAAAAATAGATTGTTCCTTAAATTGAGACCTTCTATTAGATTTGGAAAAGCACAATGCCAACTTTTTCACCTACCGTCTTTAATTGAATTTGGTGGGTGCAATGAAAACACATCGACGAGAAGAGTCAAGCTTTGAGTGCTCCTGTGTTTATAATGCGTCTGTGCTTTATTTAATATGTTTTTCAAGTTACGAAACTTTTCCTAATTTATTTTATTGGCCTTCATTATTTCATTCATTTCTGGAAATGAAATGAAAACCGCACTTTCTGAATGCGAGGAAAGCGCTAAAAGGAAAAGAAAGTAAACAATAGAGAATTCTTGTGATATATTTTGACATACGGCGTTTCGGATCCAATTTAAATATGTTTTAACCATGCACGCAAAAGCAATCACCGTGTTTCCCAATATGACGAGGAACGGGACGTGGCTGAGGCGATGGGACGGGGCTTGTCCCTTCCCTATGTTGTTGGCTCATAATGTCAATGAGTAAAAACCCATGAAAATTTATGGCAGTGCACGTGCATGACCGACTCAGGGATATTTTCTGGAGGGGCCGGGCAAAAACATTCATCAACATCAAACTGACCTTATTGAGGACGAAAACCTCTACAAACTGACAAACTATTAACGACGGATAGACATTAGTTCAGAGTTATTTTCAAAGCGTTTTTCATCCCATTTACTCAATTCTTTCAATTTTCCTCGTCTTTCATTCTCTTCTTTATTTTCGATGGGGGGGGGGGAAACAACCCCTTAGCTCTCCTCCAAGACGCCCAGGGCTTTGTATTTTACAGCTACATTGTTTTTCTGCATTCTTTATCACGTCATTGCATATTACTTGTCCATTGCCTTTCTAAACTGCTTTAAACTCTTGAAACTGCTGTGAAAAGAAGGGATTTGCGAAACATACAATAAATGCAAGTTCATTTAGTGAACAGCCGTACCTGTAGAGGTGTCATTTCCCTCGATCACTTTTAGATAGATTAAAGATGACCCTTATGAATTTCCAGTGAAAGTGACTATTTGCATTTCCAAGTTTCCAAGACATTACTATCTTAGAAAGATGGAATATACCATGATATTTGGACATGTTTCCAAGATTGGATGCTTGAGAAAAAATTAATGTATTTCCGAAAAATAATATCACGGAAAGACCTGTTTGTAAAGTTGATTATCACGCGAAACAGAAAGATGTCTTTCCGTAATACAATCTTGGAAAGACGTCTGAAATATCAGGGTATTCCGTCTTTGCGAGATATGTCTTGGGATCGTGGAAACGAGGATTGACACGGGGGGCGCTCTTCATTTACGAAAGCCTGGGCGCCCAAACTAAAGGTGAACATGGACACATACAAGCGGGTCATTTTTTTGGTGAAAGCAAGTTGACCGCAGAAGAAAACAAAGGGCAAAATTATAGATTGTATCTTAAATTTAAAAAAATAAATATCAGAATTGGCAGGGCTCTGTGGATAAGGATTGCGGCTAATCAAAACGAGGCCTAGGGCACATTAGTAAATGTGAGGCCTATCGAGCTTGGACCTTTAGGGAGAAAGCAAATGCGGCAAAACATTTTGGGTCGTTACTGCACCCAAACAGTTCACCGCAGACACATCCCGTGCGCACAAGAAAGTGCTGATGGCCACAGTTGTTTATCCACCTGAGCTTAAGTACGCCCTCACAAGGCAAAGATGAGACAGGCTGGTAGGAAGTTTTCATCCGGGCTCGTGCGCACATGAGAAGACCGTACATTTTATTTTATTTTTCGTTTAAAGTTTCGAATATTTTTTCCGCCAAACTTGTGATTTTTGCAGTGGCAAAGTGACAGAAGAATAAAAGTCAGAGGAAAATTTATAAAAATCTAATAAACTAAGCCTGAAAATGTAGGTTTCTCCACTTTTTTCTCGAACCTGTGGCCATTGGGGTTGTTGATTTGCCGACGGAGACAGAGCCTTGCTGACCTCGATTCGGAGGCATAGATACAGTTTTCTTACTCCATTCTAACCACAGCATTCCTCCTTGAAAATAAAGATAGCAGATCAGTTATCTTGAGAAAAAAATTAACAAGAGCACGATCTAATGAACACTGAATACCAGGTAGGAATTCAACTCGCCCCTTTGACATACGGTTAGTGTTTGCTTTTTATTCGATAGGAAAAACGGTCTGTTTTAAGTGTTCTCAAATTATCGAGGTCTAGCCTTAACGTTACGTTAATTTAAAACTTCGCGTCTCTCAAAGAGTTGTCTAATGTCGTTACACAGAGTGTCCCAGAAAAAAGCAAACCCTGAGAAAAGGGGCTAATATGCCCAAACCATGAGATATGATTATAATGTATAAGGATCTCGGAAAAGTAAAAGCAGTATTCTTTCTAATGATACCTTGATGGTGTCTCTCCTGTCATGCATGACTGAACGCCACTGTCTTGAAAATGGGGCATCCGAACTCAGTTGTAACACTTTGGATAAACCAGTGAATGAGGTTGTCCTCTGTCATGCTTGTCCTGGTTGAAAGTGACAACAAAAGATCATGTTAATAAGGGAAGATTGCCTTTTTTCACTTTCAAGTTATGCAATAATCTGGTTTAAATGTGTTGACTTGCCCCGAGGTAGGCCAGTGCAGTGTTGAAAAGTGTTCAAAGCAGGGCAGCAAGTCTGCAACATGGTGCAACTTACCAAAGAGCGTTTGTCGTGACGAAATTTCTTGAAAACAAGAGCTTTCAAGCCACCCAAGCTGCAATCAGGGAAGCCTTCCCTGATAGGGATCCACCGGCAAAGTCGACCTCGTGGGAAAAGTGTGCGCAAATACGGAGAACATGGGACAAGCCTTAATTTGAATAAGGGTCATTCGGGAAGGAGGCGCACAGAGCAAACTCCTGAAAACGTTGCTGCAATTCGGCAACAACTTGTCGAACAGCCAAGGGGACTAACCAGTTGCAGGAGGAATGAACTTGGACACGCGGAAGGTGTTGGTGCATAATTAACTGTGAATTATGTAATGTGTAAATAATCGGTGGTCCCTGATATCTTATAAAGGACAAGCATGACAGAGGACAACCTCATTCACTGGTTTATCCAAAGTGTTACAACTGAGTTCGGATGCCCCAGTTTCAAGACAATGGTGTTCAGCCATGCATGACAGGAGGGATACCATCAAGGTATCATTAGAAAGAATACTGCTTCTACTTTTCCGAAATCCTTATAAATTATAATCATATCTCATGGTTTGGGCATATTAACCCCTTTCCGCAGGATTGGGTTTTTTCTGGGACACCCTGTATTCACTTGGCTGATTTCTGGCAGACACAATAGGGGGCGCTATTTGGTTTGATCACCTCAGGACGTTAGTACTGAGAAAACAGTATTAATTAATATACGTCGGTGTAAGGGCAAAACCCGTAATTAAAACTGACATCTCCCCCACGCAATGTACATCTTGAAAAGTGTAGCCTTTTCTTTTGCTACGTTACAAGCGAATTCTAATGTGGGCGTGATATATGGGGGTCAGAGGTCATTCCCCCTCCCTTTGAGAACTTTCGTCCAAAGCTTAGACGCACCCCAAATAGCGTAAACCATGTATAAACAAATAAATCAAAATGGCTTCGCCAACGACAACAATTATGGTAGTACATTCCTCCAATAATGGAGGTAGAATCATGGAGGTAGAATCACATTTACCTCCATGATTCCTCCCTGTAAACAAACATTTCTCGAACCCCCCCCCCAGTGTAAACGAAATCTCATGCAAGTATTAAAAGACACAAAAAATACTTCTGATAAATACAAAATGAAAATGCCCTCAAATAAAATGTGTTTTATGAAGCAAAGGTTAGTGCCAACCAAGGGTGAACTTTAAAACTTTGGCAGCTCAAACAAATGGCCGTCAATGTTTGTAAACAAAAGAAAGTTCACAGATCTTTCGTTTACAAATATTGACACTTTTTGAGTTGGTTATTCTTTTGGTTCTGTTCTCACGGCCAGACATAGTTTTCGTAGGTCGACAAAAACTACGCTTGTGACGTAGTAAATGAAAGGGTCTGTCGAACAGAACATCATAATTTACCTCCTCCAGGTATGGAATATTGTATACATTATCCAGGGGCGGATCCGGGAATGTTTCGGGGGGGTCAGGCAGGAGATCTTTTTAATGTCTCATATTTGCGGACAAGCAGAGACGATAATGAAACATTACACATGACTTACATTCTTTACAGTGGTTCTGGTGCACTAACCTCAGTTATGTTTTATTATTTTCCCCTTTTCATTTTTTGTCTCAGAGCGGGGATGTACCCCAAGCCCCCTCCCCCATCCGCGCCCGTTATCTAGATTGTGGGAATGCAGATCTCTACACTTTTCCCATTTGCATCATAATACTTCGAAACAAAAGTTCCTTCACATTTCGGGATTAGCGTTCTGTTGGACAATGATCCCCAATTTCACACGACTTAATCCAGATTGCTCAAAAATTAAACTCCTGAGTGCGTGCGCGCTGCATCTAAAAATAGCATAACCTTGGTATTACCTAATTCCCTATTTTCGTGGACGACGGCTACTTGCGGTCGCGTATGAAATACGGAAGGGGACCAGACTACTGTACGTCCAGCCAATCCCAACTCACCATCCGACATCAAAGAGCCCGTTTTGACCCACAAGGTGATTCTAATTGCGCTTTATTTCTACTTCTCGTCATTTCTGGTGAGCGTTATAGAATTGCAGTTTTGAAAACGCACCAATGACTATTCACCAACACTAAACCTTTTACGTACAGGAAACTGCAACTTTAATTTGTTAATGCACATATCAGTTTCTATACCCCTCCCCCATAAACATACAAACAAACGCATAAACAAACAAACACCCCAACAACCCTTGGGCAATTGTTTTGTTCTATATTGCATAAATAATTATATTTTGGGAGAATCGAATTGACAGGAAGGCAGGGTAAATTAAAACAACTAAATCAGACAGAGAGATCCCAGTGTGCGGTTCAAGCACAAACTTTGGGGGAAAAAAGAACGTTTGGATGAAATCGACCCCCCCCCAAATTAAAAGATAATGAAATCCTAGTGGTCCCTTTCCAGTTATAATTGGTAATCGAAAACATCTTTCGAACTGAGCGATCTTTATACCCTTGACCCCTCAGACCTGAAACCACGCAAAACCAGTAAGCATTCATCTGCACAATAGTTACACCAATTCATATACTAACCAATTACATATGCACTGTACCTCATACAAGACAAACATCTTGTTTAAAATCTCATTAAAACACACGTCAAAATTTAAACAAATACTCTCTCTTTCACTCCATAATTCTGAACAATGTTTTATCCTGTAAAACTGAAAGAACTTGGTAGCCTAATTTTCCAGCCCAATTAATTCATTTAATTATGTTAACCTGGGGCTAGAATGGCAAAAGCTGGTAAGCACATGAAGTTGTAAGAGAGCACAGGAGCATAAGACAAGTAGCCAGCCCAAAAATATTGTGTCTTGTTCAGTACAGGTATGTTCATCTATGACTGGTTCTCAATAAAATGTTGCTTGACATGTAAGCCAGCTCGGCAGTAGTCACTTGTAAGCACCATTATTTTGCAGGGCCTTCAAACAAAACTGCACTCAAATGTTACTATAGAAATGGTGTCAATAACAGCCCAGTACTCTAAATATTGTGCAATTACAGCAGAAATCACCGGTGTGAGTTGGTTTGTAAAACACAAACAAACCGAGGCGGCTAGCATGGCTGGACAAAATTTTGGACCACAGCAGGTAAAGTGCCTGCTTGAGAGACACCAGCAGGGACTTACGACAGGGAATCTTGGACTATGGCGGCAAATAATGTCAGACATATCAGACCGTACACTTTGGAGATTTACATGTCCAAAATACTATCTGGAAGTAATGCAAAATATTTAAGAACCAAGGACTGCAGCAGCTAGCCATCTGTATGTATCTTAAAAGCTTTGCCTTTAACCCTAACCGCCAAGCATATTGTTTGGCTTACACTACACAGTACTACAAAATACTAAGTAATAGTCTGAGCCTGAAGGACCTAGCGCTACAGATTACTACTTCTGGCTAGGTTACTTCCATTGTTATTCGTACAGAGAACAATAAAGCCATGCATTCATAGTGCCACAGCACTGTATGGTATATTGTCCTATATTGTATCTCATGGCTTCACAGAACAATAAAGTCATGTCCTCTTACAAGCGACAGCACTCAGTACTACATTTTACTACAAGTAGTAATTTGTAGTATTATGTAGGGTTAGGGTTAAGGACTAATGTCTCAGAGCAAAGGGGTGTAGAGGAACCAAGCGTGACGTCCTTGTGAACCAGGAAGTGCAGTGCCAACAAAAGGAGTACAAACGTGTGTTGTTTCACGCTCTGGTTCTCGCGCCAATTTCTTTTACACTCATAACTGTGCGCATGATGTATTGACATCTGCCGTGTCTCAGACCTGTGACTGCTGGGAACATTACACTGGCCGTCCTCAACGTGGAAACGCACTGTTGCCAAAGGGAACAGATGGGGCTCTGTTCAAAGTCTCGATCTGCAAGTATATAGGCAGGGCTGCCAGTGTTGAGTAAGATTTGAGAAGACAGAACATGTATGCGTAGTCATACCACAGAGAGCTTGTTTCAGACAGTACAACAAAAGTCAATCAAATCGTTCCCCTTTACCAGAAGTGAGCTTTTAGACCATGGAATGTTAAGACAGGACATGGAATTACTTTACAAATTTAAATTTGTACATCCTTAATTTTTTCTGCACGAGAGATCCCCTATCGGATATAAGAAAGTAAGAATAATTCAAAAAAGTACAAGTCTTAGGAGCAATGCTCGAAAGTAGGCAGCCCTGTACATGTATACATGAAGGAGTGACCACACTATCTCGGGAGTCCGAAATAACCCACTCCATATTGAATACTGCTTATACATGTATGTGTGATTACAAGAAGACCTGTCATGTTTTGCGTGTTTGAATATATCCCTTGCTTAAACATGTTAAATGGAACACACTCTGAATTAAAAAAAAAAAATTAAGAAAAATCTGAAACTAGACCACAGAATTACAGAAAGCTTTAAGAAAGTTAGAAGGTATGAATCACCACTAACTGCCTGGGCCTTTTTGGTTAGGAAACACCCTCAATCCTTCAAAATCCTCCATTTACAACAACCTCAAAATTGCATGCACCCTCAAACTTCTAAAATCCTTCAAAACAGCCCAGCGGATTTTGGAGGACTGAGGATGGCTAGGGTTCCCAGGTCGGAAACTGGTCTGGAATAATCTCCACTGCAAGGTGCGGTTCAGTTGCAACACACTTTTCCACTTCAGATGCTGCACAGGCAGTAGTGCAGTGCATTGCAGTAATCACACAGTTCAGTTCAGTTCAGTTGGTTTTGAGGAACCGAGGGATATTTGTTTGTTCTGCCACCACAAAACTCAACCTGCACCAATACTAGGTGGGTATTAAGTCTGATGACAGCTGATAAGACTATCTATTGCAGGTGCAACTAGCAAGTTCTTGGCTTGGTTTTTCGGTTTTCACAGCATACGGTGGGCTGACCATGTACACTGTACATGTATATATCCTTAAAGCATCCATACATGCTGGCCTTGCGAGATACTGGTGCAGAATTTATCCCGATAATGATGCTTAGCTTAAACAGCAATACACCACAAAGACTATACTCATGATTTGGCAGCAAGATCTGTAAACACACGTTGACAGACGATGTTATAAAGCACTGATTCTTTGAATGATTTCTTCACGAGGGCTGAAGGTAGAGCTGGATCCTGGGGGATGTCATCTGGTTTTCTTCTCCAGTTTCCGCATCTTTTTCTCTTTCCGGGCCTTCTCGCGTCCTCGAACACTGGATGCAAGTTTGTAGACTACAAATCCTGTGGGGGGGGAAATGAACATACAAGTATAAGTAAATAAACAATAAATGCGCGAATCCGTGAAACGTGTCAGAAAGTGATTTTTCAGATGAAAATAGGGCAAGAGTTCCATATCAATCCATCATGTACTCAACACCAAACATCTTTATTGAGACATTCAACCTCACCTTGTATTTTTATTGAAGACGAGTCCATTTGGCTTGGGAAAAAAACGAAGTTGTCTGACACACTAAGGAAAGTTTTTTGAAATAATTCAAACACTTCTTGGTTTTTGCGAAACTCAAGAATGGTGGTAGCCAGAAAGGGAACTCTTTCCCCATTAAGTAATTTAAATGTATGACAAGACGTAGTAACATGTGATGTAGTGCGGTAAGGTCTGTGTCCATGTTTTTGTCTGCCAAAATTTATATTTCAAATTGGGATCATGCGATATAGATTTAAAAACCGTCCGACGTTTTAATCGGAACATCGGCCGATGTCCAATCCGATCTTTTTGCCAACAATAACTGAAAACGCAACCTTAACAGGATGCCTATACTGTCACTGAGTTGAGAGAATTGTGTACATCACATCGCCGCTTGCACGATACCGACAGTGCTCCGCTGTATTCAAACCCCATGCACGCAGTGCATACATGCAGAATAGTCACACAGCACCTCGGGCTGAATCACTGCTAGCCTTTAGTCAAGGCGCGCAGGGCACTGGTGCACTATGCTCGGCTTCGCCATTTGCGTTGGTGTCTTTGTCATGCCAACGGCAGAGGTGCGTGTCGTATGTCCAGGTAGCCATGCACGCCTTGAATAAAGGCTAAATTGCGGGCTTCCTTCAGACTGATCACATAGCACCTCGTGGTGCTACACGTGGTGTAGCTCCCTGGCTCTTTTCATGATGGTCAATGGAAATGGTAAACATGTACACTGACTGCTCCTTGGATCCACAGCCCATCGTGCAAATGTAGTTTTCGGGGATACTTTACTTTGAGTTTAACCATGGTATAACCATAGGGTATAACTGTTCATTTATCTCACCAAATGAAAAAACCCACCGTTTTATTCGTACTCAAATACGAGATTTATGTTTGCCAAAACTGAGTGCAGAGTTTGTTTCTTTCTTCAATTTAACATTGGTACTTGTATCGGCAAGGAAGGTTAAATTTTGCTGATCAGATGTTTTACCGATGTTGCCAAACATTGGCCTGATCCTATGTCAAATCCGATCATCAGCTGATCCCTAATTTTAAACAATAATACTGGGGCCTAATAATATGTAAATATTTTTAAATTTCAAGCACTGCAGAGACGAACAAACAAGAACATTGATTCTGGATAGGCCAACATGTATCAGTGTTACTGGCAGATCTACAGAAGAAATGTAGCTTATGAGTTCATTCCAACTTACAAGAAACGAGGAGGCTAACAAAATAACCCTACTGCCGGTACACGTAGGCCGAGGCCTACACCGGCTGTATACGGCCGGCCATCTGCCATCTGGAAAGGGCACGCAACTTACCAATAAGCGACACTATAATAATTGCCGGTATAATAAAAACACGGTTGTCGAAGCCTTCCTGGACTGGTGAATTTGGATCTTTGAATTCAACCATGGTGCCCAGATAAATACATGGAAGCTAGAAGATAACTGGGGAGTTTTTAGGTGTATTATACTAGCCCAGCCGCATGTACATTTACATGTATGCTGATGCTCGCCTGTTGAACGTTGAGCGAGCTGCTGAGACATAGTACATTTGACCTGCTGATCTAGGGTAAGTACACGTGTTAGCTGAGGTTGGAACCAGTGAATATGAGCCATTCAACAACACCAAAGTTTATACAACTGGATACCAGCTTGTATTGTGAGTCTATTTTTGGGCACGGCATGTGCTAATGCAGCCATTTAGTGCCGGAGCGCAGAGAAAACTTGCTATAATTAGACTTCTCATAAAAGAACACAAAGTTACATGCTGGTTTCAGCTAAATCCAAGTCGCAATATATTGACGGTCTCAAGGGGGGGCTGGACACTTCGAATGGGGGGGATTTGTCAAAGCCTTTAGAAATTTCGAGTGTCATTGCCGCTAATCAATGTTACAATGTCATGTAAACGACTCAAAGTAATTTCAATGAAGTGATAATAGATTAATTGTTCCAGAATTATTTTGTTCCAGCTCCCGTCACACTGCAGTGGAATATCCAGTGTCCACCATATTTCATATTTCTTTTTAGGAATGAAAGCACTAACACTTCTGAAACGGTACTACCATCACCTTTCGTTATGGCATGGCGATGGCCCTCCCTAGTGCACTAGAAGTCATGGTTCGAATTCCACCTAAGCAAGTTTGGGATTTTTTCAACTTTTTGACCACACCATGGAGGAAGGAGGGGCCATGACCACACTGAGAACGCATTTTAAATAAATACACCAGTGTAAGGGTAAAAACTTGTGTATACAAAAATTAGCAACCTCAACGCAAAGCAAAAATGTCGCCTCTCTAATTATGCAGTGGCCAGTGCGTTCTGCGTGAAAGACCCACTGTGCCTTGGCCGGCCGGCCGGCCGGCCGGATGCTTTTAGAGAAGTGCGCCACACAGCGACAACAGCATGCCAAACCTTGCACTGCTTTTGTACGTACGTGTGCGTGTAGACTAGACTGCACTGTATTGCAGAGCCCACCCCTTGACCTTCTCCTCGCACTACTTCCTTCACTCTTTGCCTCTACAGAGGATCTAACATGGTAAGGTACCTATTTTGACCGTAATTAAAGGATGTTTGTGACAAAATACTTGACTAGTACTAGCGCTGCCTGCCATGCCTTCTACCCATGGCCACTGGACTGAACTTGATGATGATGAATGCAAGGAGGTAGAAATACATGTAGAATGTATGTTGAATGTATGCCACCATGGCCACGCTGTCTGTGAAGTGTTTGTCATTAGGCCTATTATTACTTAGTATTATCACATTATTCTACTGGGTCTGGGCCTAAACTGCTAGTAAATGAATTATTATGCTGCGTTGATAGGCGTAATCATCACGTTCAGCATGTTCAGGCCATTTGAGAATGCTGTACAAAGTGGCTACGGTATCCGTTAACCGCAATGCAACTTCCAATACGGCAGTACACACTTATCATTGCCAGTGTAAGTTTTTGGTGTTGCGATAAGCCCAGGTTGGACATTGCCTTCATTGCGCTATGACTGACGTCCAGGGTATAAAAGTCCTCCTACAATGTGAAATTTTTTTCAACGATTTTTCTCACATTTTTACCTGGCTAAGACAGCTCAAATGTCGTTCACAGGTGCCTTGTATCCTGATTCCATAAATACTGTGTTGAAATTACTAAATACGCCCGTGAACAACGCATTTTGCAGAAAATTCTGCGAAACTCTATGCTTTCCGTCGCGATTCGTGAACGACCTACATTCGCCTGGTAGTACGCATTTATGCCAGTGTTCTCCATGGGCTGTTTTAGCAGGGCGGACCACCCTGCCAAAATTTTCGGCCGAGGAGAACACTGATTTACGCATGTGCAAAATGACCTCCAAGCTTGGCCCACATTTTGTCAGTTAGGCCTATGTTGTCTAGAGCTAGGGCTAGATCTTCGCTCTGTTGAAAATGCGTGGAGATGCGCAGACAAGAAACCTAACCATATCTTTGGAAGCACGTTTGGACACGGCCTTATATGCAACTTCTTCATGCCCAAGGCTCTTCCATGCATACATTAGGGGCAGTCAGTTACTATGCATTTCATGCATGTGCGAGTACGCATGCTAGTCGAAAGTACATGTACATCGTTAACAAATTGCGATGGAAAGCGTGGAGTTTCTCAAAGTTTCCTACAAAATACATTGTCTGCGGGCGTATTTAGTAATTTCAACTCAGCATTTATGGAATTCGGGATACAAGGCACCTGTAAATGACATTTTGAGCTGTCTTCGTCAGGTAAAAATGTGAGAAAAAAAGTTCAAAAAAAGTTTTGCATTGTAGGAGGACTTTTATACCCTGGACGTTAGTCGAAATGCAACGTAGACAACGTCCAACCTGGGCTAGTGTTACGATAGCACAATTGCAAGTTAGGCCTGCAAGTAATTATGCCAGGGCCCAGGTTCAAGCCCATGCCATACTCCTTTGCTTTTTAAATTTTTTTTCTATCAAATGCCCCCTTGGGTGTTGGACCGGTGTCAGTCAGTTTTTCTGTAAATTTAGACAGGCCTTGCGTTTTGGGACCCATGTATGTTACACCTCAACTACAGCATTGCTGAGGGCAATCTTGACTCTTGTGTAAATTTATTTTACTCCATCCAGAGTTGATTTGCCTTGAAAGGAAATCCATTGGCATTATAATCAGCTCAGGAAGGAGTAGGCCTACTTTAAACTTGCCAAGAGTCAAGATTGCACCTCCCAATATCAGTCCCAGCTATTAGGATGGCCCCAACCTGGACCAATTATAGTTACATGTAGCATATTTCATTTGAGAATTTAACTAGGCTTTTGTGGCTCACACAAGACAGTATTTGTCCAAAATATGTCAATCTGGCAATGCATTCACGACACAGACAAAAATTAGATTCTGCGTGTGTATAACCGCTGTACAGCATGAGATGACAGTGGTACACACAAAGCGCACTAAACTATAGTTGGGCTGACCCAACTGCAGCACGATACATGTACATAGGGTTGGGACTGTCCTAACTATTGGACCATCCCAGCTTGGAACCGATGCTGTAGTTGGGTGTAAAATCTTATATCTATTCCTCCTGCAGACATGACAGATAGGTACGAAATTCCCCTCTGCCCTAAAATCCGTCTAACTTGCTTAAAATGAACAGGTGCCCTGTTTAAATGTCTTGCAGGTTCGAGACACTCGAAAACTGCGATGGTGTGAATTCTGAAGTGAAAAGCGGTTATTTGACACATACACATACTCTGTGAGGTTAGCTTAAAATTTTGTCTCTCACGCTTGTCTGAAATGGCACCAGGATATAACACGCTGTTGACTTACCTGTACATCTACGTGTACTTTCTATGCTGTAGCACTCGTACCAGACCAAACGTTTTGCGGGATCTTGGTGCTTCCAACCTTAATAGCTCAAACCAGCCCATTCTGTTCAATTTCTTTCACAGACATCTCTTCCAGAGACTTTTTTCCTTTAAAGGCAGTTCCAGAGCGGAAAGGAGCAACCATGGCACAGCCGAGGAGCTATCCGAAGATAGTCCAGGATATCACCGGTACGAATATGTATTAATGCTGAGTTGCTCATGTTCACAGACGTCAATTGTTATGCCTTTGTTAGTGGTCTACCAAATGGTTCACTGTTTATACAGGTTCTTCCCTTCAAAAAAATCTTCGCAAACGTGAATTATAAGAAGCAATGTACTTCAATTCAAAGGTATTTATTTAAAACAGCAAAAGAAGGGTAGAAATGGTACAGTTTCACAAGCTAAGCCAAAATCTTGCTTGTAGATTGAAACTTACATTGTACATGTAGCCCCTTTCGGCAAAGGCAAACGAAACTGTTCCTGAAGTGCTTCACATGTCAATATGGTGCATGGGCACATGCATACATTTTCAATGTTTCACAGGGCATCCCCCAAGAGATAACACACAACCATTGATGCTTTCTATGAGGACATCTGATAAACGGTCAAATCTGAACAGTGCACAAGATATACCCTGTGAATGTAAAACATTGAGGTGTCCCTTTCTGCTGTTGGATTCAAAACAAAGAAATGTGAGGATAACAGAATTTTTAAAAAATCTCTTATGTGTAAAGGTTATGTCAAAATCTGCAAAGATGTCAGTTAATCTGGGTAATCAAACAGGGTAAACAAACACTGTACAGTGTACCAGTACAGGTGCATGTTACTGATATACAGTTGACTGGATTGTGCATTCATCTTTACAAATCACTAAGAATCACCAATACTTATTGTGTGAACACTTATTGCACTCTCCCCTGTAGGTTGTGTCCAAGACTTGAAAAAAGACTACAACGACACCAAGCTACCAATTACTGATGATTCCCAGACATTGCATAAGTTTTGTGCGAAGCTGGAATACTTGCTCCAAATTGACATGAAAGGTGTGTTGGGTGTTTGATAGCATTCCACGTCTTCCTCTGTGTATCCTCCATGTACTTGCAGTGTCTTGATTTCAGTTTGAAAAGTGCAGAAAAGCTACATCAACCTTAACAGAAGGAGACAGGAATCGTGCACTGACAGGATGGATGTTATGCTGAGACCTCAAGTGAAAGACGTCTTACCAAAGCAAACAAGACCAAATTTGATCACCCTTGGCCTGCAAACTGCTCTCAATAATTCCGAAAGGCAAAGGTTAAAAACAGCCCAAAGGGAGAACAAACATTAAACCTTGATACAAATTGTTTCTTTTTGGCACAACTTTAAAGTTACATGTATGAATGAATTTGTAATTTTGGACTGGTTAATTTGATATGTAGTTTTGGACTGATAATATGTATTTTTTGGCCGGTTAATGTAGTTTCGGACCAGTTATTAGATACATGTACCTGTAGTCTAAAGTCATGGTTGATGCAGAAACTGGTCATGTATGTACATGTACAGTGGACTCTTAAGCAAGAAAAATCTGCCTGCATTTTTAATGATAAGATGAACGTTTTTACAGAATGTCGCCATCTCAGTTCCTGTATTATAGATCTGTGCGGCTTTGCTCTCATGATGCAGGTCGAACCAGCATTCTCGGTGGTCGTCGCGATTACTGGGATTACTTTTATAAATGCCTGAGCAAAGTCAAAGGGCTGAACGACGGATTGCGATTTGTGCGAGCAATGGCAGAGGTAAGCGTGAAAGAGAGTGGTTTGACCAGCTTCAACTTACATGTACTTTCATTGGCATCGATCACATAATCAGCTGTCACTTTACCCTCACTATGGAGTTCCTTTTGCTCTGTCATACGCATGCAGGTGAAATCTTCTCTGGGACGTGGTCGTGCTTTCATTCGTTACAGTCTGGTTCATCATCGCTTGGGTGACAGTGTACAGCAGTGCATCTCCAACGTGAAGGTTACCAGGTATAAGACTTTCACCCACTGTCCTTGGAAAGTTCCAGATTTGCTCATGCTTTTCTCAATATACAGTCAGAGTAGGCAACTATGCGATTCAAACTGGCCTGCTGAGACTTTTTTTTAGAAATCAACAAATTCTCATTCCAAAAGAAGGGTATATTTCAACAGAAATAGATGAGACCATTCCAAGTGTTGTTGAACCAAAAGTGTCATACCTATCAATAGGCTCTCGCAGCCAGTGTCAAACACCCATTTAGGTATATTTCTTGTGAAAGGCTTTTCTCCTATTGCTGTAAAATGCTCTTTAATGACCAAAGAGCCCATTGCTGTTTTTGCTTTCTTATTTCCATTGACTGATATGTATAGTGCATAAATGTAGCTGGGGGCAAAATAGTCTGATCTTATTGCCGAGCAGTTTTCACAACAACTTTTATGGACAACAATTTGGCTTCTTCTTGCCTTTTTGTCTTTCTAGTGACTGGTACGGCCCAACTGCTGTTCTTCTCAACACCGTTCACAGCTCCACTGTCGTTAACGCTCTGTACGAACTCAATGATATCCAGTTTGACCTTTCACCCACTGGTTACGACCTGGACACTGCCTGGCCTACATTTGCCCGTAAAAGCATCGGTGCGGCCAATCTGTTTCTCTGGCAACCTCCGAGCAGGACGACAAGCACCAGCAGCATCAACTCACAGGTACACAGAGAGAACACAGGGAAGAATTTTCAAATGAAAGAACTTGCGTGATGAGAAGTATTGGGATTTGAAGCCCATCGAGTTGTTGGATTTGGACGGAAAAGAAAAACAAAAAAATGAACTTAGTACCACTTTATCAAATGTACAGATGTACGTGCGCATACGTTTCTTCCCCTGCCAGTGAACTTTTTTCTACACATTTGTAATATAAATAGAAATACAGTAAAACTATCGTCTAACCTCCACTATTTGTAGAAAGTTATGTTGAATGGTTCATGGCTTGGAAAATATGGATCTGTGCTCCACTTTGTGAAGGCTTTTCTTGTATTTTAGGAGTCACATGTATAATGTCGACTTTCCTCACCTCGCTCGTAAATATGCAAGTAATGAAGTGTTATGAGTCCAGTGCTGAGAATTTCATGAGGTCATGAAAATTTCATGTGGAGATCTGCATTACAGAGACATCCACTGGGCGCCAGTGCACAACATGGATGCATTTTCAACCAAAAAGAACTACTGCATGACTCTAATGCCCTTTTTTGTGGTGCAAGTGTGCGCCTTACATTGAGAAAAATCGTTCATGTCACATGATCTGCAGTCTCCAACCAGACTACGGGGATTTTTTCATATTTTGTATAATAGTTGGTGGTACGTTACAACAGGTTTTGTGGGCTTGTGATCCATTCCCACGTTGTACATATACCTGTACTTACATGTACATGAATCTAAGATTGTTAAACCGTGTGTACGATTCTGTGTTTTACAGCAAAGTGCAAGTGACTCATACCCCAACAGTCCCATGATCGAATCCAGACCCTCTTTTCTGGAAGACCAACTCACACGCCTGCAGAAGGAGTTTGAAGAATGTGAGCAGGTTAATCGGCAGCTGCGAGGACGAATCGACCAGCTGGAGCAGGACAATGAAGAGCTTCACCAGATGGCCCAGGAGACAGAGGAGCAAATGACCTGCTTCCGGAGCAAGTCGGAGAGGGAAACGGCAGAACTTCAGGATCAGGTCGAGATGCTGGAAGAAGGACTGAATGCAAAGGAAGAAGAATTGTTTGGACTTGAAAGCCAGTGGAAAGAGAAATTGCAAGAAGCTGAGAAGACAGCATCAGATTTGTATGCTCGCATCGAAGTGCTGAACAAGCAGCATGATAGTAGAGAAAAGATGCTGACAGAATCTGAGAGAGATCTCAGAGAAAAACTCCAACTAACTGAAAGCTCAGTGAGTGAGTTGAAGCAACAGGTAATTGCTTATGAAGCCGACTTAGCCGTGAGGACTGCATCTGAGACGAGTAATAAGGAAAAGGTCTCCGAACTGGAGGGCAAGCTTGCTGATGCTGAGAACAGAAATCTGGAGCTCATTACCAGGATGGATAGCATGGTTCAAAACAAAGACAAGACGGTCTCCAGCCACTTTGAATCGGCCAGCAGGGTCCACGAGCTCCTGACGAGGCTAGAAGGGGCAGAGACGGAGAAGCTTCAGCTTCAAGGCATCAGAGAGGAGCTGATCCGCAAATTAGAGCTCGTTGAAATGGAAAAAACATCCGAAAAAGAATCCAGTAGTCAGAGACAAAAGAACAGTCCACAAACAAAAGTAAGGGTTCAACCGAGACACCAAACACAGAGCACTACTTACAACAGATAAAAGAACTTGAGACACTGAAACTTCAGCTGGCTTCCCATAATTCAGAACTTGCTAAAAAGGTTCACAATCTGGAAGCAGCCCTGCAGAACAGTGCAACCGAAAAAATTGTCGTTGAAAGACAGATGAATGAACTGAAGAAAACCGTGTCCAATTTGGAGGAAAGTGACTGTGTGTTGAGGGAAGAAAAGGCAGACTTGCAAAGGCAAGTGTCACTTGTGGAAAAAGAAAGGGACGAGGCAGTCAGAAAGGCCACATTTCTTGAAGATGGAAACAAGAAAATTGCAGACTTAGAAAAGCAGCTGAGGAAAAGTCAACAAGAGGTGGATGCTTTGAAAATCCAAACTTCAAAACTGCACAATTTAGAATCAACATTCCAACAGTTGCTAACAGACCTTGAAACTCAAGAACAGTCACGATCAGCTGAGCCATCAGCGGATTCACAAGTTCACTCTGAAGCTTACCAAACCTCTGCTTCTGACACCAGTGGATCAACAGAATTACGAGGGGATGGATCCCCGATTCATTCACTACAACTCAGAATCAACAGCATTCTGGCTGACAAAGCAACAGGGTTCAGTCAGCTTCAGGGAGCTCACAGAGAAGTGACTGACTTGAAGGCCCACAATGATGAATTAGTGAAGCAGCTGGGAACAATGAAAGAAAAGCAGCAACGACAAAGTCAAGAGGTCTGTGATCTTCGGGATACCGTCGCACGTCTTCAGGGTGAACTGGCTGATGCCGGCTTGAGGTCTGAATCTCAGAAGCAAGTATTAAATGTGAAAGACGGAGAACTGAAAAGCCTTGCCCAGCAGATGAGCTGCCTGCAGCAAAGAGTCTCAGATTTGAAGGATGGCGTTGTGCAAAAGTCACTGGAACTAGAGACCCATCAGCAGAAACTAGAGCAGGCCAATAACCAGCTGAAGTCTTTCAAAGTATCACTCGAAAAGGCCAGGACTGAGAAAGAAACTCTGAGCTCCAAGTTAAGTTCCACGGAGACCAGTTTTGAAGCCCTCAAGCATGAGCATGGGGGACTGCAAAGCAAGACGCAGGAACTGGAGACACACAGTCAGGAGATCCAAGAAGACCTGGAGAAGCAGAAGCAGGCAAAAAGAGAGCTGGAGAGCATGCTGGAAGACACCAGGAGGTTGGTCGAGGAGAACGTCTCCCTGGAGCAAGTCTTTGAGGAGCGGAAGCAGAAAATGATCAAGGAGCATGAGGACAAAGTGGAGTTTCTGACCCACCAGTTCAACATGATCCAGGAGGAGACGGAGAAGGCCAACACTGAGAAATTCAGATTTCAGGAGGAGCACAAGGTGATGTTGGGAGAGGTCCAAGAGATGAGAGAGAAGTTGGAACTGATGGAGACCGAGAGGAACGAGATCAAGAAGACAAACGACACCTTGAACACGGAGATAGCTCGGGTGAATGAGGCGTCGCAGCTCGCCAACGTCCAGAAGGAGGAGACATCTCAGAAACTGGAGCAGCTGAGATCTGAGATGTTTGAAGCCCTGGAAGAAAACACAACGAGGATGCTGCGCCTCGAGAACGTGCTGCACGATACTCAGGAGGAGCGAGACCGAGCAAAATTGCGCATCAGTGACCTAGAGACTGAACTGACGGAGGCGAGGGAAAAGCTCTTGCAGGCAGAGCAGAAGTAAGTGCAAATGATACCTTCTCTGTCGACTTTTCCTCTGTAAAACTTTGGCCATGCATGTACATGTATCTTCTCCACCACTTTTCTAGAGTGGCATTGGAAACCAGTGAGGCTCATGCACCATAAGAAATTATGCATGTACTGTACTTGTACAGTACTGATGTGGTACAGTGAACTCCATCAGTGCTTTTTGAATACATCTGCCAGATACACTGTAACTTGTGCTTGATAAATGCAGCATACAGAGGCAGGTGAAAGTCTCAAGTGTGCTGCGTGTACATTTTATGCAAGTACGGATTATATCTGGTTCAGTCACGATGTCTCGACATAAATATCATAATAACTTAAAGAGATAGGTGTGGTGTTGACTTAGGACGTGACTTCAACTTTGTATTGCATGTAACTAAATCATGATTTGGTTGAATCCGCCCTGATCTGCATCTTAGACTGGAGGAAAGCACCCAGCAGCTGACTAACCTAGAGTGTGTCAGGCAGCAAGAGGTATCGGCCCTCAAGTTCCAGCTGAGCTCCGAGGCCATGGAGTACCAGCAGGCCATTCAGGTGTGTTCCCCCCCCCCCGTGTGTCATAACGAGTTGGGAGCGGCCTAGCCCAAGTATCAATGATTATCAGTGCTGTGATATGACTTGTAACCACTTTGTGCCGGAAGGCTGACAGGTTGAACCGCCACGTGCATTCCGACTCGCCTTTGACCGACGATGTGTACATGCTTGTCCCCAATTTGCTTTGTATTCGCCAAGTCCAAGAAGTCTGTGGAGGCGGACTGTGAGATGAATTTTAACTCAACCGCTGTGCACGGTTTGGTGTGAGAGTACTGTAAATATCACTCAATGGGCTTGCCCCAGAGTGTTGAAAAATATAGGGTTGTGATAACAAATATCACACAAATATTGTTCAGATGCTCTAATGAGTCGGTATTTATACAGTCCACACATCAAAAAGAGTCAAACTCATCAATAGGGAAGGGCCTTTCACGACTGGAAAAGGCAGGTTGTAGAGTAAAAATTACAGATTCATTTCTTAATCTTCCATTTCTTTTAAAAATTAGGATGTGTTTATTTGAATATTTTTTTCCCTGTAGATTTACGTTTGAAGATTTATAGCTTTGCCCAATGGTATAAAAAACAACCACCCTTCTTCCACTAGCCTCATACATATCCGTCTTTTTGTTGGATTTTTTTGTGTAGTTTTGTCCTTGACCTAGGGAAAGTAATACATTCCACAAAGGATTTAAGTGAGGGAAATACCGGAACTTAACGTTTCCGTGTTCCATCTACCAGGGTTACAAACATCAAGAGACAAATCTCCAAGGATTGCAAGATCGATGTAACGAGCAGGAAGAGATAGTGGAGAGTCTTCAGACCGAGCTAAACCTGGCCAGAGCCCAGCTTGAGCAGCAACAGAAGCAGGTACGGAAAGCAGAACGGCAAAGCAGAAAGTGACGGTATTTTCCCCCATCTGGTCCGAGCTGAAGTGCACCCTTGGCGATGAAAAAGAGACAGGCTGGTGGGAAGTTTTCCTCAACCGGCCATTGGGGGGGTGCACACTCAAAAAGATTTACACTCAACCAGGAACTGGTTGCATTTGCTCAACGTCTCCCTTGCCAAGTATGCATGAAGCCGTGCACACACTTGATGTTTCCACCTAACGTCTGTCATTGCTGTGTCACAACACGCCCTCTGTTGTGTCCTGCTTGGAGGCAATTGACAGGTTTTGGGCCATTTCTAGATCTTTCTCAACCTCCCAGGTAGGCCAGGCAAGCTAGGTGCTCATGGAAACGTCTGATGTTGCCTGGACTGCACTCAACTTTCTTTTTTTTGGGGGGGGAGGGTTATCACTTGATTTTGCACTTTATTGACATAATGTACAAAGCACCACACTAACTCAATTCTGCCTGCAAGTTTGTCATACAAAAAAATTGACATGCCTGACAAAATGGACAAGTTGATGGAACCTTAACCCTCCGACTCCTCAGGGAATGCCTCAGAAATTTCTCTGGAATGCTACTGTACAAAACACTGGAAGTTCCCTTGAGGAATTCACAGTGTTCTCAATCAGAACAGGCTATGCCATAGTAAAATGTGCAAAGGCATTGGCCAAGTGCGGTTCCCAGACACGTTATTCCCAGAAGGAACAGTAGGTGTTTCCGAAGGAACAGCAGGTGTTCCCGATAAGAAAAGGTCGTTATCTCTTCTGGTTGGCATGTTCTGTGCTATACCCGCTTCTGAGATGATCCCTCACTACTGTCGACCTAACCTGCAGAATACTTAGACACCAAGCCAATTTTTGAGTGAATTTATATCATGTTATCCAAATTTCAGTGTAAGGATGCACAGGAGTTGGCTACAGAGAAGCAACGTGAGAGTTCCGCCCTGCAAGAAGCTATTCAACAGGTGAATGGATTCACTGTTAAATTTTGCAGGATTCTATACCAGGTACTCGCGACCTGGGTCAAGGTTTTTCTTATCCTTATTAGGTGGATTTCTGTTCAAATTTTGTGAGATATGTAGGTTTTGATTATTTTTTTAACCGCTTGTGAAATTTACACTATTGTCATCAGACAAGTGCTTAAGTGCAAAAACTTTGCTGAAAAAGTGCAGCAGATAAACACAGCTTACCTTTGCAAAGCATGTACAAGTCTCTCGTTTGAGGCAACTCTCCAACTATGCTGATGTCAGTTTGGAACTTATGTTCAGAGAATGGTTCGGAGGTTTCAGTTTTGACTGATTGGTGTCTCATTTTTTTCATTGCAGATGTCCAAAACACTGGAAGAGCTACAAGTGCAGAATCTGAATTCTGAAGTGAGTTGAAAACTTCTTGTTAATTGCGTTTACTGCTAACTGTTCATTCCTGCATAACCTGCCTGCGTTAGCCCCAGTACTGCCTGTTACTTCCTTTCCTGCCTTAAATTGCTCATGAGATTTATCCTGAGTTTGATCAATTTGTCAGGGCTAAACTAACATACACAAGTGCTAGCCGATGAAGAAAGTTTGCAGAGTCTTGGAATTTGTACTTGTATTGCACTGTGTTGTATGAGCAGAAGTACCCCTCATTGGTTGAAAAGGAGCCACGTTGGTAGGGAGTGTTCATTTTATTGGTAGCAATTTAACCTGAACCCTAACAGTCCTCAATCGTCCAACAGGTGAAGGATTGAGGACTGTTAGGGTTAATGCTTGTATTCTATATTCGTTCGTGAACCAGCAAAGTGCAGTTCCACCAAAGGAGCCTCCATTGCTTGGAAAATTCTGCCCTCTCTTGGTCTAGCTCAGGGCTCATTTAGAGCTAGGTTTATAACAGGTGATGCAGGGTAAGCAGTCTGGAGACGTTGGAATGGCAATTTCCGAGTAACACAGTTGCAGTCCAAATTTTATGTGTCTTCCACGTCATCAACTTTTTCTACCTTTTTTACAGGAGGAGCTCACACAGTTGAGGGTCGAAAGACAAGGCAAGCAGACATCGCTTGAAAGCAAGGTGGTGGAATTAGAGAATGACAACGTTGAACTCAAGAAACAGATCATCAAGCTTATCAAGTAAGGAGACACAAAGTCCGGTGGCGGGGGGGAGGTAGAGTAATGCAGCCCCCTAAGAACCCATCCGTCCCATCACCAATCTTTTTGGAACTCAGCCCGTGTGTAAAGACATCCATTATTAGTGAAGACATCTACTCTGAGTACATCTGTGAAGTTTCAATTCATTGAGACTGAAGGGGAGTGTTTCGGTTCACGCTCTCACAGGTGCATTGAGCACGTCTTTGGGAAATAAGCATTTTACAAGAATAGTACATCCAGTTTCCCTAAAATTGGTGTCAAAATTACTGTGAGATGGTGGAAAAAACTTCCAAAGGCTCAGCATGACACAAAAATCATCAGAGAGGATGTAATGGCAAAACGGATATTCTGCTCAGGGTTTTTGGGCTCCAAACATATTTACACTTTGGAAACATCTAAACCTCATAGGGAAAAGTTCTATTTGGATTTCTTAAGTTGGCTGCAACTTTTTGGTAAAAAGCTTTGCGTGTAATTCTCCTTGTATTTTGTTAAATTTTCAGAGATAAGGACACTCTGTGGCAGTGGACAGATAAGCTGGATTACCAACGCAAGATGAAAGCCTCCGAGAGGTGGATTGATGATAGCGAGGTATTTTGAAGTGACTTAGCAGTTTGCCTGATTTCCAGGCCAGAGAGTCTGTGTCATGTTGCTAGTGAAAACGGAGGAGCCTCTCTTATCACTGAAATGCTAGGAACTTTCAGCTGGGGAAAGCACCATTTAACAGCAGTCTGAATTTGGACCACCATTTTTAACTAGGCATGTGACAGTGAAGAATACACCGTGTTTTACAGAGTAACATAAAATAAGCAGACTTTTTCCAAGATATGTAGATGAATGCCAAATTCTTGCAAATATTTAAACATTAAACTACATGTATGTGCACTAAGTTTTAAACAAAAGGCGCAGTTTTCTGGTTTTCAAGCATGTTTTATATTCTATATCTCTTCTGTTCATCTCCGAACACTAGGTCACTCAATGCATGCAGTGTCATGTTGAGTTTTCTCTGATTGTCAGACGTCACCATTGCCGTCTGTGTGGTCGTATATTCTGCACCAAGTGTGCCAATTGCTACGTGTCTGCTGCACACAGTCGGTAGGTCTAGTTCCGATGTCCCCTATGAACCTTTCCCATGAAAAATGCAAATAAGGCAGACGCATGCACATAATCCATTACTACCGCTAATAGGCCAAGTTGCTTAAATCAGTGACGTAACAGTACAAATCTCTGTGTGCGCGCAACTGTTAGCACATACACGCCATTCCTGTAGTTGTGTGATACGAGTGCTAAGCTTAAAAAAACACAAGGACTTGTTAATTTCCAACCACAGAACACTGGCAATTTCACTTCGTTTTGAGAAAAGCGAGGAAAATGTGCTGAACTATCGGACAAGAGCCGTGATGCCGTGTTGGTTGACTTTCAACCCGCCAAGTTAAGGTTACAGCAATTCTCCTACACTGCCGACAGTCTTGATGGCTGGGCTTGCCAACCAGTGGTAGTAGCTCGCGTGCGCCTGTCTAATTTGCATATTTCATGGAAAAGCTCTGTTACTGTGCATAGTGCCACGCTACTTGCTAAATCCAGTTTAGACCCGTTAATGAGTGGGGTTTCACACAGAGGTCTTTTAATTCTGTAACGTAGGCTGTCTGCAAATTCATCACAAACCTCTTCAAATGAATACCCTTAGGCTAAGCAAATATCAACAAGACGCATGTATGTGTGCTTTGCAGAGGGCACTGGTAACTGTAGATTTATCATTTGGCATCACAAAGCAGGCTTTGTTTGCAGATATAAGAAAATCAAAATTTTTTTGCGAAATTTTTGCCACCAAAACTAAGAACCCAACCAGGAAGTGGGTCCTTCAAACCTTTTTGTTGCTAACTAGTAGATTGTCTGCATCGAATATTTTTTCCAGGGACCTTGTACAGCTTGTAGGACTTTTATAACAAATTTGATTGTTCTCAGAATTTTTTTAAAGAGAAATTACAAACCAGTTTTCCTATTCTACCTAGAAATACTTACATTGTGATGATAGTTACATGTAACTCCAATTTTGTCGGATACATTTTAAAGTTTAATCAAGTTTATTAAATTTATTCAAAGTCACAGCACAAATCAGGTTGGAAGTAAAAGGGTCTAAACAAGGACAAAGGAAATCTCTCTCGAAGGTCAGTTTAATACCTTTTGTCAAGACTTGATGTGGGTTGACTTGTATGAGATGGACTCCACCACAGCACTGCTGCACATACGTGTACGCGTGCCTCAACAGGAATTGTAACATGCATCCTCTCTGCACATTTGCTATGTCCTTTCCAGCAAGAAATCTCGTGTCTGCGAGCAGTGCTTTGTTATTCACCAACAAGCGAATGAGCCCGACCAAGTGCCGCCCTCCACCTCGATCTCGCTGGACAGCGACGACGAAACGGAGCGAGAGACCCTGGCCCGCAGCCGGTCCTTCATCGGCTCCAGCAGCCCGCTCAGCGAAGGACGGCAGTCCGTACCGACGACCGAGGCTTCGTCTTCGCTAGAAGGTGCTGCCCCGGGGAGGGCGTCTCCAGAACAGCAGGGATCGGCAGGGGGGCAAGCTGGCGATTCCACTGCTGAAGGGAAGACTTTGCAAGATGCTGATCAGAAACTGAAACAGAGAGGCTGGAAAGGTGAAACCAGTCTGGTCACTGGAAGTGAATCCAGGTAAAGGAATCAAATCAAGCTTAGTTTTTAGTGAAAATAAATGTACGTTTACTTCAACTCGATTCATTATTTTGTTTATGTGCATTTTTCACCTTCTAATTTTTTAAATTGAACCATATCCAAGGCTTATTGCTAAACACCGTACTTGTCAACCTTTTACTTGGGTTAACTTTTTTTTGGATTTCCCCTTTGTCTTTGATTATCGGCCTTTTTTTACAAAAAAGAAAACAAAAAAACCAGATCCACTCTGTCTGAAATAGTTGGAAAATAGTGGAAATCTTTCAGAGATACGTGACCAACAATCAAAGACCCTTTAGGTGTCATGTGTTCAATGTTATACACACACATGCGTCACTCGGTTAGATGCAAGGTGGAAAAAGTTACACCGAACAGAGGGTCACTGTGTCCAGATGTTATCTGAGAAAACTCAGCTGACAGCTATTGGTTCAATGAATCACTCCATTGTGGAATCTCTAGTCTTTGAGTTTGAGAAACATTACACTAGTGAATGGTGTGTGTATGGATCACTTTCTTCTATGTACACTCTTTTATGTCACTTGAAAACCTTCCCTATAAAGGTTTTTCGCGGTCAGTCTCATTGCAAATGTTACAACATGCCAGCTAACATTTTTCTTAACCATACCATTGCTACTCCTGGTTTTAACTTGATTTGTTTCCAACATATTTCTCACATTTAAGTCACTAGCACTTGTGAATTTAACTTAATTGTTATGCTTAATTTCTGATGTTTTAAACGTATTTGAAGGGTTGTAGCCTAGTTTCAAACAAATTAATTAAGCTGGGGTTTTTTTGCAGCTAAAACAAAAAATCAAAACTAATCTGCATTCTCATTGATTATTTCATGAGTAAATTGTTTGGGGAAAAATGACTGGCAGAAACATGTCTGTGGAGTGAAACTCACTCTCTAGGGTAAACGTTCCATCTTCATCTTTCAAGCAATTCAGACACTTCAAGCTTGCTGTGATTCCAGGAAACAGCCTTCCAAATGTTGCCAGATTCGATTCGGATTTCCAAATAGAACTAGCTTGAAAATGTTCTTGTGTGAGATACGCTTGCCTTACTTGTTTGTCTACTGTGTAATATATGCAAGGACGAGAAAGACAACACACTACAAATAGCTTGATCACTTGAAAGTAAATTAATGTACCACGTTTTTCTGGGTTAACCTTAAACCAGAATTGTCATTGTGTTTGCAACACATTGAGAACAACTAGTTGTCAGTGAAATGACCCATGTTTGTCTTGGGTAGAAATCTTGTTACTTCATCAACTGCGGGGTACGGTTACTTTGTTAGATGTTGAGAAACCTGTGAAATGGTATGTAACCTGTCCTAACCCCCTTATGCCAGTGGTGTACAGTTTAGTAGATGTCATTGAAAATTCCCGGAAGATCCCTTGAAGGAAGTAGTTCAGAAAGTGTAGGGTGAATATCCTTGAAACAAATTGGAAGGATTAAATTCACAGTAAG